GTACTCACCTAGTACATGCAAGGTGCTGGGTTCATTCCTCAGCACCATATAAAAAATAAAAACAAATTAAAAAAAAAAGGTATTGTGTCCAACTACAACTAAAAAAAATTTTTAAAAAAAGTATTCAATAGCTAGGAACTGAGGGAGAATGAGGAGTGTTCAATGAGTGCCAAACTTTAGTTGGGAAAGATGAAAAAGTTCCAGAGATAGATGGTGGTGATGACTGCACAAACATGTTGATAAGAGAAAAATTCTAGGATGTCCCAAATTTAATTTAAAGGGTCAGAGAATGGAGGGCAGGAGAGATAAGGGAAGTTGATCAGTTAACAGCTCTGCTACCAAATCAACAACAACAAGATCAATTTCACATTCTGAATGCGTATTAAAACCTTGACTCAAACCCCAGGTGACCCACCAGTTGGGCTATTGAATCCTGCTTATAACTCCAGCCAACCCAGAAGCAACAATTTAGGATTCCTCCTTATGGACTGTCTTATTATCCCAAAACTCTCCCTGTATCACATTATCCTGCCAGTCTTATCTATAGCCAGGGTGAATAATTTATGTTTTGGGCTGGGGCTGTAGCTCAGTGATAGAGCACGTGGGAGGCACTGGGTTTGATCCTCAGCACCACATAAAAATAAATAAATAAAATAAAGATATTGTGTCCATCTACAAATAAAAAAAATTTAAATTAAAAATGTATGCTTTTTGGGGCTGGGGATGTGGCTCAAGTGGTAGCGCGCTTGCCTGGCATGCGTGTGGCCTGGGTTCGATCCTCAGCACCACATACAAACAAAGATGTTGTGTTTGCCGATAACTAAAAAATAAATATTAAAATTCTCTCTCTCTCTCTCTCAAAAAAAAATGTATGCTTTTCTTCCTCAAACTTTTGTTATAAAAGTACTTTTGGCTTGTAGGTATAGCAGATATACTTCCAAATGCTATTTAAGCTCATCACTGGAAGTTTTGGGAATTGTCCCATCTGTGACAGTTCAACAAACCCTTTATTCAAAGATCTCCTGGTGTCAGAATTTTGGTTTAATAATGTGAAAGTACTTAAGCCTACACAGCTGTGTATTTAAAAATGGGAAAAAATGTAGGCTGGGGGTATAGCTCTGTGGTAGAGCACATGCTTAGCATGCTCTGGCTCTGGGTTCAATCTATAGCGCCAAAAACAAATAAATAAAAATGATTAAAATGATAAATTTTATGATATATGTATTTTTACCCCAGTAAATTTGATATTCATTACTATCAAATAAAATTGATATATAAAAAATATTCAGAACTGAGTGCAGTAGAGCACTGCAATAATCCTAATAGCTCAGGAGGCTGAGGCAAGAGGATCACAAGGTTGAGATCAGCCTTGGCAACTTAAAGACCCTGTCTCAAAATAAAAATAAAAATGAGCTGGGGCTATATAGCTCAGTGATAGAGTGCCCCTGGGTTAAATCTCCAGTACCTAAAAAGAAAGAAAGGGAGAAAGAGAAAGAGAGAGAGAGGAAAAAAAGCATTTAATAAGTACTGAGCATCTACCAGGTGGCCAAGCTGCTTTGCTAGTTTGCTGAGGGTAGAGTGCAAAGGGAGATACAGTTACTATGATCTTGTTTAGTGAGATAGACACTAAACAGTGAGCCATTCCATTTGAGTGGACAAGTACTAAGAAGGAAGAAGCACTAGGTACTGAGAGATCTTATCATAAAGGAAACACATTCCAGCCAAGGAAATTTGGTAGCCTTCTCAAACTTTGGAAGTCATGATCATCAAAGTTACAGGGATTCAAACAAACCCAGATCCTGGGGCTAGGGTATGGCATGGTGCTTCCTCATCTCTGACTGCCTTCAAACTTCTTTCATGTGGGAAATAAATTACAGTCTCATTTGAACTTCTACAATTATTGTTATATTTTTTATACCAGGGATTGAACTTAGGGACACTTAACCACTGGGCCACGTCCAGCTCTTTTTATATATTTTTTTTAGAGACAGGATCTCTCTAAGTTACTTGGGGCCTTACTAAGTTGCTGAGGTTGGCTTTGAACTCAAGATACTCCTGTCTCAGCCTTCCTGGTAGTTGGAGTTACAGGCACAGGTCACCACTACTAGCTTCATTTTGATTTTCTTTCACTTGTAGTGGAACCCAAACTCACAATGATTACAATACACTTCTCTCAGTTGAAATAAGGCTTCCTTGTGATAAGCTCTCCCAGTACTCTGGGCTTCTCCCTTTGTAGCACTTGGCTACTCATAATGAAATAATTCATTGTTTAGTGTTCATGTCAGAGCTTGGGTGAAAATATCTGTTATACCCAACATCACATCCCCAGCACCTAGCAGAGTTCTTTGCACTGGGAGACACTTAACACTTGTTCAATATGTGAATGAATGATTGGAGAGGTTTAGACTAGAGCAGAGGACACAAACTTAAACGCCTACAGGAGGCTGCTCCGTAATGTAAATGAGGGAAGACTGGCTGTAAGCTATAGGACTGGTGTTCCTATTCTGCCCAGCCTTCAAGGAGAAAGCCTGAAGAAGGGATATCCATAGTTGGCTTCTTTCTTTCTTTCTTTTTTTTTTTAGTTGTAGTTGGACACAACACTTTTATTTCACTTGCTTATTTTTGTATGTGGTGCTGAGGATTGGACCCAGGGTCTCCCATGGCGAGGTTAGCACTCTACCGCTGAGCCACAACCCCAGCCCCCATAGTTAGCTTCTTTCAAGGAACAACCCAGAGGTTGCACCTAACATTTTTCTTTCTTTCTTTCTTTCTTTTTTTTTCCCAGGTACTGGGGATTGTGGGAGGCCAACCTTACACGTGACTGAGTTACACTCCCTGGCTGGGTGCTGAGGCTCTCAGTCACAGAAATGTGGCACCCTTCTTGGGTGCGAGGGTCGGTGTCTCGTGCATGGGTGTGTCTTGCTACAGCCCCATGGGTGAAGCTATGCTCACCTGTTCCTTTGTAATAGAACCCCTTGCCCTGTTTAGGATAGAATCTTCCATGGAAGTGCCTGTGTGTGTCCCCTTCTCTTACTGTGTCCTTGGGTGTGGCCTACCCAGGTGTCAGTCAACCTGCTGACAGTGGACATCATGAAGACACTCAGCCCCCTGAAACCTGACCCCTTGCCTCATTTAAATAACTTCTCCTCAATAAAAGGGGTCAGCGCGTGCTCTCACTCTTTCTCTTCATGTGGACCCTTAAGGTCAGAGGAGCCATCACAGCGACCCCAAAGAAAAAGGTATTTGTGTCTCTTGTGTGGTTATTTCGTGCAGCCCAGTTAGCCCAGTTTAACTGGAGTGACCCCTGAGCCTTTTAGTAGCAAACAGAAACCTGGCAGGGGATTGAACCCAGGGGCATTTAATCACTGAGCTATATCGCAGGCCTTTTTTAATTTTTTTTTTTTTTTTTTTTGAGACAGGGTCTTGCTAAGTTGTCCAGGCTTGCCTTGAATTTGCAATCTTCCTGCCTCAGCCTCCCAAGTCACTGGGATTATAGGTATGTGACACCACGCATGGCCTAACACTTTCATTTATATTTATTAACCCAAATAAGTTATTTGGTCACCTCCTTGCTGCAAGGGAAGCTGAGAAATATCTATTAATTCTATGTATCTAAAGCTGGGGCATGGTGGTGCACGCCTATAGTCCCAGCTACTATGGAGGCCAAGGCAGGAAAATCACTCAAGCCTAGGGAATTGAGAACAGCTGGGCAGTATAGCAAGACCTCTTTACAAAAAAAGTATTTATTTATTTATTTATTTTTGTTGGGCACAGTGGTGTATGCCTATAATTCCAGAGGCCTGGGAGACTAAGACAGGAGGATTGTGAGTTGAAAGCCAGCCTCAGCAATTTAGCAAGTCTCTAAGCAACTTAGCAAGACTCTGTATCTAAATAAAATATAAAACAAGCTGGGGATGTGGCTCAGGGGTTAAGCATCCCTGAGTTCAATCCCTGATACCAAAAAAAAAAAAAAAATTATGAGCTCAGCTAAAAATGAGGGCTCTATTACAAGGGAAGGAGAAAACAGATTTGGGGGACAAGTGAAGTGATCGCTAAAACCTGAAGAATGAATAAAAATTACGTGGAGTCCTCATTCTCAAAGTGTAAGTGTGGTGGCCTATTGACTTCTGGGAGATCCTGATACCTTTCAGGGTATCTTCAAGTTCAAACTATTTTTATAAAAGTGACTGGCTATTCTTTGTAACTGTGTTGACATCATAATGATGTTGCAAAAGCAATCTGGATAAAACTGCTGCCTTAGCACAAATCAAAGCAGTGGCACCAAAGCAGGCACTTGCAATAAAAAAAGAAAAAAGAATAATAATGCCAGTTTTACTGAAGAATGCCCTTGATGAAGCAATAAATGTTAATTTTATTAACACAACTCTTAAGTACAATGTGTTGTGAAAAGAGAAGTTGCATAAGAGCAGTGGCCGGTGTAGTGGAGCATACTATAATCCCAGCGGCCCAGGAGGTTGAGGTAGGAGGATCTCAAGTTCAAAGCCAGCCTCAGCAACTTAGTGAGACCCCCGTCTTAAAATAAAAACTAAAAAGGGCTGGGGATGGGTTCAGTGGTTAAGTACTCCTGGGTGCAATCGCTGTAACTGCCCCCCCCCAAAGGGAGTTACAAAGTGGTAAGTGATAGCTCTGTATTAATTATTGGTGTTGCAAGCTGAACTAGTAGTGTTATCAGCGTAGGGAAACCGTAAGCTCACAAGTGCTTCTCACTTCTTTCCCTGAAGCCCCACTAGATCTGGCTGCATCATTGAGGGAGTCTTTTCTTGCCTCTCAACAGTGACAGTGGCACTATGGGCTCCGGCCTGATTCTGCTTAAATTTTTCCCATGACTTTGGCATTTTCACTCTGACATCTTCCCTGACGTTGGGGGTTGGCCCAAGCCTGGGTGGTAGAGAAGCCTCGCTACGAGGGTTCTTCCTGTCTCTTTATTTAAGTTCCTCTCCACGGAGGAAACAAAGCCCTCTCCCCACTGGGCTCCTGGTTACAGAGCTCCAGGCCCTTACATAGACATATCTGTGCAAGAAGCAGAGTGGAAGAAAGACAGGTCCAGAGGTAAGAGAGGCTCACTCAACTTCATTTCTTTCCAGGGAGCTGGGAAGGGGAGGTGAATGTGGCGCAGGTGCAGCGGAATGTGCTGGGCTCTCGGTCCTGTGCTCACAGCCCAGGATACCTTCTTATGCATTTCTCTCAGAACTGGTCATAAGCAGTGATGTCCCACTGGAACTGTGAGCTTCAAGAGGCCAGGACTAGGCCATACTGCTTTTTGCCTCTGTACCAGACATAGCTCAGTGCCCAGAACATAAGAAGGGCACTGAGGTACTCTCTAGAGGGGTATTGACTAGAATCACAAGATCAGAGAGTAAACAGCCGAGAAAGGCAGTGGAAGGCAACTACTCATGGGGCAGTGGAGGAGGTGAAGACGGGAAGACCAAAGAGAAGAAAAGACCTAAGGAAGGGTGAGGGGGCAATGAAAAAGAATAAATAAGTATTAAGGTGTAGAAAACCTATAAATAAGAAATTAAAAGAGGAAAAATGGTAAAGGCAAGAAAAGGGCAATAAGAAGTGGAATCTAGTCTAGAGGCAATTCTCCTAAAATCAATTTTCCCAATAATACGATCACTAAAAATTCACACCAAAAATCATACATGCAGCATTTCATAGGCCATGTGATCTATGTGACCTTTTAAAAATCTTATGTATTTTAAAGATTTTGTCCAATTTTGTGCATTTAAGGATTTTTGATCGATATATCTAAAGGTGCTTGTACTTTAGTTGGCTTGGTTAAAAAAAAAGAGAAAGCTCAAATTGTCAAAAAGTGCATAACTGAGCTCTTAGATATGAAATGCTATAAAAGCGTTAGATCGTATTTTTAGGTAACTATGTCATTAGAAAAACTGATTCTAAGATTATTGGTTTTGGAGGCTGATAGAGTTAGAAAAGGATTTGCAGACCGCCCCCACCCCAGGCTTAATGGGGTTCTTCACCCAAGAACCCTCAAGATGAGATGCCCTGCACCACCCAGCCTGCTACCTCTGCAGCCTCAGGCCTATCCCTTCTGAGATCTCACAGCTTTGAAGCCCTGCTGCCTGCCAGGTGTTCTCTGCCTTCAATTCATAGATTTGTTCTGGGAAAGACTTCTCCTGGGGGTACAGTCTGATCCCTGAAAATAGAAAGGTTCCATTTTTAATAAGTCAAAGATTTTACCCAGCGACTTGCGAGGCTGAGGCAGGAGGATCTGTGAGTTCAAAGTTAGCCTCACTAACTTGGCAAGGCATTTAGCAACTCAGTGAGACCCTGTCTCTAAATAAAATGCAAAAAAATGGGTTGGGGACGTGGCCCCGTGCTTAAGCGCCTTTGGGTTCAATCCCTGTTAGCAAAAGTAAATAAATAAATAATCCACTCTGAGTGGGATAGCTCTTCCTGAATGACCTGCTCTTATAAGACACACGTTTCGGAGCACAAGGCTGGGAAAAGAAAACCATGGTGGAGATCACTGCTCTTTCATGTTTTGACGATTTCGATTTCGTGTGCTGTGTCAGATTTTGTAGGCTGATACAAAATGGCTCCCCTGAGGAGCAGCCGGAAGAGCTCCTGAGGACAGGCTCACAGATGTTCAGTCTTTGGGTCTGGTCTACTTCTAAGTAAAACTGCCCCCATCATCTGGTTGTAGGCAGAGCCTCAGAGCAGCCCCATGCCATGTTCCTGGTCATGATGGTGGGGTGACACTGAGGAGAGTTGGGTGGTCAAAGGTCCTGCACATTTTAGAAACCCCATAAATGTTTGTGGAATGAAATAACTTTGATGCAGATGGGAAACCGGATACTTGGGTGATGGGAACAGTTCAATGGGTTAGGGTCTGGTTTGCAAGGCTTGAAGATCCAGCATCTGTTCAGTACCCTTCTTTCGGGGGATAAGGGAAGGAAGGAGGGCACAGCGCCCCCCCCCCCCTGCGTGGGCGTTGAGGCAAAGGAGAGGATGGCGGAGGTTGCAGCCACTGAACCACAGGGGTCCCTCAGAGGGGTCATATATCTAGGAAGTTTGTAGGAAGCCAGTCAGCAGTCGCAGGGTGCCATGTGGGGCGGGCATTCTGCGGCTGGGCTTGAGTGGGCTGACTGGGGGCAACAGGGGGAAGATAAAAGTGCTTGTGGGACCACAGACTGTCACTGTGGTAGGGCTGTGCCCTCTTCCTCTCCCCAGCCTCCTCCTTATCCCACCCTGGGGGGCAGGGGGTGAGGGTGGCAGGAACCTCAAGCGCCCTGGCGGAACTCAGTGTGTGTTGCCATTTTGTTCACATCCCTGTCCTGGTCCCTCTTTGTCTCTAGTTTGGTCTGCTGCTGTCTGTGTATGTCTTGCCTCCAGAATTTCTTTTTCTTTTTACTTTTTTTTTGTACCAGGGATTGAACCTAGGGGCACTTAACCACTGAGCACATCCCAGCCCTTTTTATTTTGAGACAGGGTCTCGCTAAGTTGCTTAGGGCCTCACTAAGTTGCTGAGGCTGGCTTTGAACTTGCAATCTTCCTTCCACAGCCTCAAGAGCTGCTGGTATTATAGGCGTGGACCACCATGTCTGGCTCCCTCCCAGAATTTCTTCACTTCTTTGCCTCTGTTCTACCTTTTCTGTAAGACTCTGAGCTTTGCATGTGATGGTAGATTGTATTGAGACAGAAAGACCATCCATAGGCAGCCATAAAACGGGTCTCAGAGAGGGAAAGGAAGAAGAGAGACCTGAGAAACCAAGGCTTCTGATCTCAGCTGATCCTAGCCACGAGGACAGTTTGTTAACAACTACAAAAGTTACTTCCTCTTGTGCCAACAAATCCTCACTCCTACTCTTGTGCTAATTAAGTCTTAGACATCACTTTTCTCTAGACTTTCTGAAGAGGACAAAATAGAGTTGATTGGCCCCTTTCTGAATCCTGTTATCCCACAAATCAACTCTAGGAACAGATCAAACCCAAAAAACCCTTTAGACAACAGACACCCATTGGCACACCTCCCCTTTAGGAACTCTGCTTTCTTTCCTTCTACTACTCTAATAAATCCTGTTTATACTTTGTTCTCACCCTAGTGTTGTAGATTTCGTTCTTGGAATTTGTGAAACAAAGAACCCACTCAACCAAGCTCCGTGTACAGTATGAAGAGTGGCTGTTGCTTTAACCGGCTGCTCTGGGTCTCTCTCTTCTTCCCTTCCTCCCTCCTGTCCTCCCAGAGACCTCTGTGTGCTTCTGAGATGATCTGCCCACCTCCCTTTGTCCGCTGTGTCCCTTCCACCATGCAGCCATCTCCCTTGCCCACCCACAGACCAAAGCCTGTGAAAAGCTTGCTTTCCTGCAAGAAGCCTTGCCGCCTGTTTACAGTATAGAAGGAACTAGATCTTGGTGGCAGCTGGATGAGAAAGGAGAAAAGGCAGGGAGAACTCCAAGTGAGAAGAGAAGGAGAGCCCAAAGGTTCCTGGCATGAGGCACACACAGGAGTTGAAAGGAGGCATAGGCATGGGGAAATAGAGTATCAGAAATGTACAGGTGTAAGCAGAGGGAGAGGCAGAAAGAGAAACAAAGAGAGAAAGGGAGGGAGGGAGGGAAGGGGGGAGAGAGACAAGAGACCAGGAAGGTGGGGGGGCGGGGAGACACACGACCAGTCAGCCCTCCTAGTCTCTCCCAGGGATGATGGTACACAGAATGCTACTGTACTGAGGTACAGTGCCTCTGGGGACGCTGAGGATGTGAGAATCAAAGGCCAGATCTCTAGGGTGGCAGCGGAAGCCCAAAACACCAAAGTGAACAGCAGCTGGAAACCCACAGCCTCTAGCCTCTTCCACTCAGCTGAACCCTTACTGAGATGGGGCTGTGCAAGGAATTAGAAGAAGGAGGTGGCCTTCTGCACAGACCCTGGAGTTGTGGGGAGGGAAGAGACAAAATGGCCACCATCCAGGGAAGGCTGAGGACACTCCTCTCCTTCCTCAGGCATGGTAAGCTGAATCTGAACCCCAGAGAAGGAAGTCTCAAGTGGAGACATTGTCCGTCTTCAACGTCTCCTCACAAGGACACAATCAATCTGGGATGGGGGGCAGTGGAAACAACTAAACATTTAAGGCTGTCCCTACCCTCCTCTTCTCACCTCAGACTCCCCCTAAATGCTTCCCGCTCCCTGTGTTAACTTGTAAACAACTTCACCCGTGACTGTGACTAGCGTGACTGGAGACTAGTCTCCCTCCCTCTTTTCCCGGAAGCCTCTTGCCTGACTGGGTAATTCTTCTTCTGGGCAGATTAAGTAACTGGAAAGGGCTTTTCTTGTCTTCTCCCAAACCTCATTAGGGTGAGCAAACCCTAACACCTCCTCTGAGTGCTACACCCCTATAAAGAATTATATATTTGTGTCTTAAAGAGAACAGAGTCGGGGGTGGGGGGTGGTGGGGGGGTGGAGTTGTGGCTCAGTGGTAGAGCACCAGCCCAGCACAAGGGAGGCACTGGGTTCGATCCTCAGCACCGCATAAAAATAAATAAATAAAATGAAGGTATGGTGTCCAACTACAACTAAAAAAAATATTTAAAAAAAGGAAACAGAGTCTGGGGGATGGGGTTATGGCTCAGCAGTAGAGCACTTGGCCTAGCACGTGTGAGGCCCTGGGTTTGATCCTCAGCACCACATAAGAATAAATAAATAAAATAAAGGTTTGTGTCCAACTACAACTAAAAAAATAAACATTTAGGGGCTGGGGATGTGGCTCAAGCGGTAGCACGTGGGGTGCTGAGTTCAATTCTCAGCACCACATAAAAATAAAGATGTTGTGTCCACTGAAAACTAAAAAATAAATATTAAAAAATTCTCTCTCTCTCTCTCTCTCTCTCAAAAAAATGAATATTAAAAAAGAAAAGAAAAGAAAACAGAGTCTGCTTCAGGTGGTTCAAAGGATTGTAGAAAGGGGGTTATTTACAGAGATGTGGATAGGGTTAAGGAAAGCAACTAGTGTGTTGAGGCAAACACTAGTAACAGAAGCAAGGGTCCTAAAGAGGTAGAAATGCTGTTTCTGGAATCGACAGAGGACTTGAGCTGTGGATAAGGAAGCACCTGACCAGAGCTGTGATGTGGCAGAGCAGGAAGAGGTTAGACACAGAGTGATTACCAGAAAACACACACAGAGCAAAGTCAGAGCAGACATACCCCAGCCTCTTGTTTGAACCCCTTTGTCTCTTCCTTTTCAGACATTTCCTATTGTCCAGCCCCAAGTAGTAACAAGAGCATTGCATCCTAGCCTGGCTCTGTGTTGTGTTTCCCATGACTTTGCCACCTTTGTTGGGAATCCTTTTCTAATCTCAAATGGCAAACAGCTCACTTCCCCCTCCACCTTTTTTTTTTTTTTTAAACAAACAAACAAAAACCCATACAGGGTCTGCAAGTGTAGATCAGTGACAGGGCTCTTGCCTAGCATCTGTGGGGCTCTGGGTTCAATCCCCAGCACCACCCAAAATAAATAAATAAGCAAACTATTTTTTCCACCTCAATATGTGGTATGTTGAATTTTTATGCTTTAAAGCTCAGGATGCCTCTGCTTTCAATTCTACGTGGGCCTGATGCATCCAAGCTTTTGGCAAGCAGGCAGGAGACTCAACAAAATCAAAATGAGAAAAAGGCAGCCTGAATGCAAGGCATATCTGGAAACATATTGTATATTTGAAAATTATAACATTGGGGTTAGGGAAGAAGCTCAGGGCACTCAGAGCACTTGCTGGCATGTGGGTTTAATCTCCAGGACCACACCAAGAACAAACAAACAAACAAAATGACATCTGTAGAAGTGACACAGTTAACAGTTCACAGGTGAAATAAAATTTTATATATAAACGTGTGTGTGTGTGTGTGTGTGTGTGTGTGTGTGTGTGTAATTTACATGAAGTGAAATTGGCAATTCATGCTTACATTTTTAAAGTCTAAGCAGGGAAGAAATCCAACTGAAAAGAGATTTTCTTTACTTGAGTCCAGTATTTCCTTTCATGAACTATTTGTTAAAAGCCTCAAATAATCAACAGAACAAGAAAACCCATTCATACCACAGACTTTCAAAACTGGATATTTCTTAAGCAAAGAAAAAAATCAAATGTAGTTACTTTCTCTCAAATTCTCCCAAGAAATCTATTATACTTTTAGTAGAAGACTACAACTCTATATAAATGCCCTGATACTTAAGCCTGTATTTTTTAATACAGTACAATTTTTATTAATATAAAACACATAATATATTCATATTTTTATTTAGTATCCAGGGATACATTAATTTCTGTATGTTTGTGTGTGTGTGTGTGTGTGTGTGAGAGAGAGAGAGAGAGAGAGAGAGAGAGAGAGAGAGAGAGAGAGAGAGATGTGAGGCTATGTCAGGCCAGAGAAATTGCCGTTATGCTACTAATATCACCCAATATTAACCAGGGCATTACATTTGTTTTTTGGCACTAGGTAGTTTTATTCAGCCATTTAGAAAAATGAAGAGCTATTTAACCACTGAGCCACATCCCCAGCTCTTTTTATTTTTTATTTTGAGGTAGCTCTCACTATGTTGCTTAGGGTCTTGCTAAGTTGCTGAAGCTGGCTTTGAACCCATGAGCCTCCTATCTCAGCCTCCCAAGGCGTGCACCACCATGCCTAGCTAGGGCATTACATTTTGTGACATGTACTAGAGGTATAAGCAAGTCCGGTTTCCTGGGCTGGATTAAGGGTCCTGAGGAAGAGCGAGGTCTCCGCATGCCCAGGTCCAATGAATACCTATTGACTAATGATTATTAACTCTCTTGGTCTCTACCATTTCTGCAGGTTCAGGTCCCTGATGATTCAGGCCCCTGCCTGATACCTCAGCAAGGCTAAAATGAACCAAGGAGTTGCTTTTTGGCAACTGTTCCTGGTACTGCAACTGGGTAAGTGCTCACACTTGGGGTTTGGGAGCAGATGGTGTGGGAGGTGGGGAAATGCTAAGATGAAGCATTGCAGTACAGAGGCCTGATCCCTTTCTGTTTCACCCAGCACTGCTCCCAGTGGTCACTCAGGGAAAGGAAATGGTGATGGGCCAAGTGGATGGTTCAGTGGAACTGCCCTGCACAGCTTCCCAGAGGAAGAACATGTTGTTTACCTGGAAATATTCTAACCAGAAGATTCTGGGAAATCAGAACAACTTCTTGACCAAAGGTAGGATTTCTCTGTCCCCCATCCAGGGAGGAAAACAATGGATTGAACACTCCTGTGGTCAGAGATCTGCTCCTAGTAAATTCTGGGACCCCCAAAGAGCTGGAGTTGATAGAAATTCTGTGGCACTGTTTTCTGGAATTTCCCTACTCTGACTGCTGGTGACAAAAGGCTTTTAGTACTGTGATATTTTTAGTATTTTAATGGTTATTAGAAAAATAATTATCACATAAAATGCATGGTTTCAATAATATTATTGCTACAGCCGAGCACGGTGGCACACACTTGTAATTCCAGTGACTGGGGAGGCTGAGACAGGAGGATTGCAAGCCAGCCTCAGCAAAAGCTAGGCGCTAAGCAACTCAGTGAGACCCTGTCTCTAAAGAAAATACAAAACAGTGCTGGGGATGTGGCTCAGTGATTGAGTGCCCCTGAGTTCAATCCCAGGTACTATACCAACAACAACAACAACAACAACAAATATATATATATATATTTACAGACTCATGTGGATGATACTTTATTTCCATTGAAAGCAACAGAATAGCCAGGTGCTATGGCATACTTGCAATCCCAGCAACTCCAGGACCTGAGGCAGGAGGACTGCAAATTTGAAAATGCCACAGCGATTTAGCAAGCCTCTCAGCAATTTATAGAGTTCCTGTCTGTCTTTAAATTAAAAAGTAAATAAATAAATAAAGAAGGCTGGGATGTAACTCAGTGGGAGAGTGCCCCTGAGGTCAATCCTTAGTATCAAAAAAAAAAAAAAAAGTAACTGAATGATTTTTTCCTTGCTTTTAAAGTAAGTAACATCTCCTTAGAAACATTTTGTAAACTTTTTCATATATATTTTATTCTCATTGTCTTTATAACTCTGTGTTTTTTTTTTTTTGAACCCATACTAAGCAAGTAGCTCTACCACTGAGCTACATCCCCAGCCATCGAATTTTTTTTTTATTTTTAATCTTATTTTTTTTTTGGTGGGGTTCTTTTTTTTTGTCTTTTTTGGAACTGGGGGTCAAACCCAGGGCTTTGTGAATGCAAGGCAGACGCTTTGCCACTGAGCTACATCCCAGCCCGAATTTTTTAAATTATTATTTATTTATTTTTTAGACAGGGACTTACCAGTCTGGCCTCAAACTTGTGATCTTCCTGCCTTATCCTCCAGAATGGCTGGGGATTGTAGGCATGCTCTGGCTGCTACTGTTCCTTCTTGTTGTTGTTGTTGTTGTTCTTCTTCTTCTTCTCTCTCTTTCTTTCTTTTTTTTTTGTTTTCTGTTTGTTTGTTTGTTTGTTTTGTACTGGGGAATGAACACAGGGGTGTTTACCACTGAGCTACCCCTAGATCATTTTATTTTTAATTTGGAGGCAGGGTCTTCCAAAGTGCCCCGGTTGACCTCTAATTTGCAATCCTCCTGCCTCAGCCTCCCAAGTAGCTGGGATACAGGCTTATGCCACCTTTTCACCTTGTTTAGCAGCTTTTGTGTTTTTGTTTGTTTGTTTTACTGTTGCTTCCTTTTATGGCAGGTAACACTGGCTTTCTGTTCATGTTAATGTTATAGTTTCCTTTTTAAAATATTTATTTAATTAAAAAAATTAAATGGGGCTGGGTTTGTGGCTCAGTGGTAGAGTGCTTGCCTAGCACATGTGAGGCACTGGGTTCGAACTCCAGCACCACATAAAAACTAAATAAACAACTAAAAACATCTACAACTAAAAATTTTTTAAAAAATTAAAGATATTACATAAATTGGATAGGTAGATTTGGCTAAAATTGTATATGAGGTCTGTGAATGGATGAAGTTTAGGAAATATGACTCCAAGTGTCGGTTTTACTGGTAAGGAAGCTAAGGTCAGGGCAGAAATCCTTGCTTTTGTGCCCACATAGAGTCAGAGTTTGAGCTAAATGAACTCTGGTCTTTTGACTTTCAGGCCTAGGGTCTCTTAGAGAAAGTTGTTTCAGAGCACTCAAAATTTTCTTTTTTTCTTTTTAAAAAGTGTATCAGATAGCCAGGTGCAGTAGTGCATGCCTGTAATTCCAGTGGCTTGCAAGGCTGAGGCAGGAAGATTGCAAGTTCAAAGCCAGCCTCAGCAAAAGCGAGGCGCTTAGTAACACCCTGTCTCTAAATAAAATACAAAATCGGGCTGGGGATGGGGCTCAGTGGTTGAGTTCAATCCCCAGTACAAAAAAAAAAWAWATATATATATATCTTTTGAAGATGGTTTTATATTCATATGTGTGTATGACACATACACACACATGTATATATATACATACACACATACATATACACATATATAAATATTTTTAACTTCACTTCTTTTAAGTAATTGCATAGATCCTTTGCATAACTACAGCATGATTTCTTTGACTAATCTTGTATTGTTGGACATTTAAGCTATTTTCAATTTGTTATCATAAATAATTCTGTAGTGAATTACCTTATGTCTTTGGACACACATGTAAATGTCTTTATATGATTCTCTTGCCTCAGCCTTCTGAGTGGCTGGAACTAGAAGCACATACTACCAAGCTTAGCTTTATCAAACTAATTTTTTTTTTGGTAGTGGGTATTGAACCCAGAGGCGCTTTACTACTGATCCTCATCAGCTCTTTTCATTTTTTGAGACAGGGTCTCATTAAGTTGCTTAGGGCCTTGCTAAGTTACTGAGGCTAGCTTTAAACTTGTGATTCTCCTGCCTCAGTGTCCTAAGTTGATGTGATGACAGGCATGTACCAGCACACTCAGTTTATTATAGACTAATTTTTAAAAATAATTTGGCATCAGGTATGGTGGCTCGTTCCTGTAATCCCAGCAACTTGGGAGGCTAAGGCAGGAGGCTCACAAGTTCTAGGTCAGACTCAGTAACCTAGTGAGACCCTGAAGCAACTCAGCAAGACCTTGTCTCAAAATAAAATAGTAACAATAATAATAAACTAAAAAGGTTGTAGCCCAATGACAAAGCTCCTCTGGATTCAGTCCCCAGTATCAATAAATAAACAAATATTATCTGGCAATATTTTATAAATAAAAAAAAATCTAAAATCCTTTACCTAGTAACAGCTATTCTGGAAAATATGTTTAACAGAAATAAAATTGTGAATACTTATTGATATCTGTGCAAGGATTATAAAATTACAAGAATTATTTGTAATACCAAAACAATAGAATTCAACATGAACATCCATTAATGAGGGAAGAGTTAAATTATAGTACAATTGTGAGTAATTCAAGAAAAGGAGGGCTTGTGGGAAAAGGGAGTAAATATATATCTTAAGTCTACTAGGGATACCATATTGAAACATCATAGACTGGTGGCTTAAGCAACAGAAATTTATTTATCACAGTTCTGGAAGCTGGAAGTCTGATTTCATGGGCAGGTTCTGGTGAAGGCTTTCTTCCTGGCTTGTGGACAGCAGTCTTCTTCCTGTGTCCTCACATGGCACAGAGAAAAAGAAAGTAAGATCTCTGTGGGTTGATATAAAGATCCTCATCCAATCATGAATGCACTATCCCCATAATCTCATCTAATATTAAACACCTCCCGAAGGCCCCATCTCAAAATACCATACCATCGTGTTGGGGGTTTGAACTTCAAATGAATTTGGAAGAAGGACTCCATTCAGTCCACAGTATTCAGCTAGGTCCCTCAAAATTCATCTCCTTTTTACATGCAAAATGCACTCATTTAATCTTGACAGCCCCCAAAGTCTTAACTCCTCCCAGCATCAACTCTGAAGCCTAAAATCCAAAGTCTTATCTGAATATTCTCCAATTAGCCAGGCTCAGTGATGCACACCTGTAATCCTGGAGACTTGGGAGGCTGAAGCAGGAGGATCACAAGTTCAAGACCCTATCTCAAAATAAAAATATAAAAGGACTGGGAATGTAGTTCAGTGGTAGAGCACTCCTGGATTCAATCCCTAGTGCTATAAAAAAATAATAAATAGACTAATAAAAATATGATCCAATCAGATAAGGGTGATATATAATTCATTGAGGTATATTTGATCCCCAGGAAAAATTCCTCTCCAGCTGTGTGTGAAATCTGACAAGTGTGGCCAGGCATAAGACAGATTTTTTCATTCCAAAAGGGAAAAATCAAAAAGGGGGAAGAAGTGACAGAGTCTTTCTAAGTTGCCCAAGATAGCCTCAAACTTGAGCTCCTCCTGCCTCAGCCTCTCAAATTGCAGGGATTACAGGCAAACTTTCTCCTCTTCTTGAAAAATGGCTCACACTCATATCTGAATAACTCTATTGTCTGTCCTGTCAAATGCAAGGAGTCCGTTCTTCATTGCCTCCCACCTCTGACCTCTTCAATTCAAACAAGTAGCGTTTCTGCTCTTATAAGCCTGTAGGTTCTTTGTTGAATGATAGTATACCCAACTTTTGGTGTTCTCTTGGAAACACGTTTTCTCATTTTTGCAATATGAATAGGCTGAGAATTTCCCAAATCTTCAAATTTTGGTTCCCTTTTGCTTAGAAATCTCTCAGCTTTAATCCCCAGAACCAAAAAGACAAACAACCCCCCCACCCGCCCACCCACCTAAAACAACTCCTCAGCTAAATATCCAATTTCTTTTTTTCTTCGTCGTTTCCTTCTTTCTTTCTTTCTTTGGAACTAGGGATGGAACCCAAGGGCTTTTATAATTGAGCCACATCCCAAGCCCTTTTTCTTTCTGATTTAGAGACTAGGTCTCACTAGGTTGCTTATAGCCTCACTAAATTGCTGAGGCTGGCTTAGAACTTGCGATCCTCCTCCTTCAGCAGCCCTAGCTGCTGGGGTTTCAGGCGCATATCACCATGCCTGGCTAAATACCCAATTTCAATGCTTGCAAATTCTACCTCTGCAAAACACTACACAATTAAGTCAAGTTCTTTGTCACTCTATAGTAAGGATCTAATTTCCAGTAACATGTTCCTCGTTTCCATTTAGTCCTGGAAACAGCAGTAGATACAGACAAAAATATGCCTCAACAATCGCCAGCTCTCTCTAGCTAG